TTGCATTTTTAATGAAGTTTATCATCGAGATGTCAGAAGGTGCGTACTTAAGATTAACTACTTTTAGGTCATGGACAGATTTTTATTTACTATGAGACTATATAATACCCCCCTCCATCCTATCTGATTAAAATTTGATCAGTTAAGTTTAACAATTCTCTAAAGATTGATTAAATGAAAAACCTCTCCATCTCTCTAAAATCAGCTTATTTTATGCCCGTATCCCATTTTCCTATCAGGCAGTGATAACCCCGTTTCTGATTAGATGTCACTAGCAATGATAATGTGACATTAAGCCTTCTTATTTTATAATAAAAAAATTCAAAAACTTTAAGCGAAGATATCTTAATGATCATGTGGAATTAAAATAAAAAAAATTTACTAAAATTTACTAGTTAATTATCAGGATATCTTCGTCTAAAGTTTAAAGCTATGACAAAATTTTCCAACCTTTGAGCGAAGATATTTAATGAAATTGTTCTATTTTAATCCTACGATCGTGTAGAATTAAAATAAGAAATTTTTATACCAAATTTATGCAAAGTTTTTCAAACTTTGAGCAAAAATATTTTGGCGAACACGTAATTAAATCTAATTAAAAAATCTTCATTGAATCTGGTATAGAAAGTGTTAAGATCTTTCGCTCAAAGTTTTTATTTTTCATTTAAATTAGCATGTACTGTACATACTGTACGTAAATCCCTGAGTTGCTAGTATAATTTATTTCCATTTAGACACAGATAACTCAGTTTATAAACTTAATAAATAAATTATATATTTTGTACTTAATTATCAAAAAAAATTGACTTTCTTTTTCTTAGTTTGACTGTTCTTCTATGAGAAATTTCAGCCCATAAGCTTCCATTCAGTGAAATCCGGAGTAACAGGGAATTATTTAAAGAAGTCTTGAAGGGGAGGCGTCCCAATCCATTTTCAGAAGACACTACAGAACAGTATAAAACAATAGTTACGCAAGCCTGGGATCAGGATCCTGATAAGTGTCCAAAAATTAATGAATTAAGAAAACAACTTGCTTGCCTTCGCACAGGTATATATATATATTTGTATATATATTAGAAATTTGCTACGATATCGATATATTTAAAAATTTTTTTTAAGATATTATATGCAGAAGGTAAATGCTACATAGAAATTGATCTTCAGTGTAAACCATGGAATTACATATTTTAGATAACTTTTCTCATAAATTTCTTGTATATTAAGAACAACACAATAAATGAAATTACTATATCCGGTACACATATAAATATTATAGATATTCTATGATATCAATATCGTTACAAGCAAACATATTTAAATATGTAATTTATATTATTTAAATTTATGCATTTAAACTTTAGTTCCCTTCAAATTGTTGATTTAAATATTGCTTTTATAACATCACTAAGTCACTTTAACAATCCTGATAAAATATTTCCGTTCTGGCTTCAGAATGATTATGTCGCAGAGTACTGAAACAATAATCCAGGAAAAATTGAAATTGAAAAATTCACATGATTGGGTACTGGAATTCTACAATAAGTAAAATAATATAGCGGTAGTGATAGGAGTACATCGTTGCCAAATAGGTACCTAAGGCATTCTAAGAACTCAAACTTTCTATTTTTAAAATAAAAATAAATTAACCTTAGGCCACGCAAAGTTGATTTTTCGTTTAGCATTACCCGCCGACCCAAATTTTTCAAAATCCCTATTTTTTTTTTTTTTTTTTTT